ACAGTGCGGCGCTCCCTCAGCACTGACCCTCCGACAGTGCGGCGCTCCCTCAGCACTGACCCTCCGACAGTGCGGCGCTCCCTCAGCACTGACCCTCCGACAGTGCGGCACTCCCTCAGCACTGACCCTCCGACAGTGCGGCGCTCCCTCAGCACTGACCCTCCGACAGTGCGGCGCTCCCTCAGCACTGACAACCCCGCGGTACTGGTTGATTTTTTTCTTGTCACCATAAGCCATCCCGCCAAGGCCCAGGCTCAGAGATGCCTATGAGAATAAGCCCCGGTCCTCCCTCTATGCCCACACCCGGGTTGTTCCCGGTACCTGAGGCCGGAGCTTCTCCTACAGCGGGGCGACACTCGACCATCAACAACCGGAAACAATGGAGGAGCGGGGCGGTTCTGACATCATCCAGTGGGGCGGAAATGATGCTGCGCAGTGCGGACCCTCTCGCTTTGCGCCTGCGCCAAACCGACAGATTGCCGCGCCCTTCACCGTACTGCGCGTGCGCTGTGCCGGTAACGTCACCCGCCGTTTGTAACTGTGTCTCAGTGCGCGTGCGCAACGTTGGCTGTCCGCCCTTACACGCTCTGCGCGTGCGCGTTGCCGGCACCGCCATGCCCCGGATGCGTTCGCTGTTTGAGTCTCCAGGCTTAGGTGTTGGCCTGGGACTGCGGCTGGTCACCTACACCGAGGCCCCGCCTGGGCCTGGCCTGCCAGGTACCTGCCTTATCCATAGGAACCCACTCTCGGGGTCAAGGGGACCTATTCTGTGTGTCGCTATTGTGTCCTGGGCCGTGCTGCAGCTTCTCCCTCTCCCACACATCCACCGTGTTTGTTAGCCTCTCCCCAGCTGCCGGCCTCTGGAAGGATTCTCTGGGGTTTAGTGCAGTGATACAGACAGTACAGAGTCCGTCTGCCTTCAGGGACTGCCCCTTACTCTCTCAACCCAATCCCCCAGGCTCATGGAACATTCCCTTTGGGGTAACTGTGTCCTCCCCTGAAGTGAAGAGACCATTAGTACACAGTACTGCAGCTGGGTCTTCCCCAAGAACCTGTGGAATTGTAGTCACACTCTTTCACTAATATCCAATCGCTTGGTAACTGAAGCTAACATTCACCCTAACCTTTCAAATTGCTCGCTTTGCTTACATGTTGAAATTCAGCAGTTCATCTACAAGAACGCTCACATCATTGCTTCTTTTAAAACTTTTTCTGCTTCTAATATGTCATATTATTTTGCACCTGCCATGTTCTAGCCCACTTTTCTATCACTGCAGCCTCTAATTGGACCTATTTTCCTTGGTCTCCAATTCACAGAATTGTTAGGGCGCAAAAGAATGACATTTACCCCGTCATGTCTGCCCTGGCTCTCTGAATGCTTTAACTTAGTGACAGTCTCTTAATTTTCTTCCCTGCACTTTTGAACATTATTCAAATAAAAACTATCATCCAATTCCCTCTTGAATGTCCCAACTGAAAATGCCTCTCTCTCCTTTCCAAGCAAAGCATTCCATATCCTAACTAGTAAAGGTACAATCACTTTAATCCCAGTCATCTAAAGTACTGCTCTCTCATTAGAGAGACAACTGATGGGTGGTTTAAACTGAAGGTCCCCAGACAGGGGATGGGGCTGAGAAGGAGAATCCTTCATGGTAACCTCAGCCTGTGCAGAAACTGAGCCCACAATGTTGGCATCGCTAACTAGTAATCCAGCTAACAGGCCCCATATACCTTAATTACTCCCTGCATGAAAGCATGCTGTTCTCACCTCACATTTGTGTCTTTTGTCAATCACTTTAAATCTATTCCCTGGTTCTTAAACAATTTACAAACTTCACCCCATCTGCTCTGTCCAGACCCCTCATGATTTTGACAAAAAAACTGCTCAGCCATTTAATGGATTGCATCATTTGATGGTCGTTCTTAGAGCAGTGAGTTTAAAAAAAGATTTGCTGGAGGTATTTAAAATCTCAAACTACTAGGGTACAATAATAAAGTGAAGGAGATAGTAGGAACTGCCGCTGCTGGAGAATCTGAGAATAACAGGTTGTAGAGCTGGATGAACACAGCAGGCCAAGCAGCATCAGAGGAGCAGGAAAGCTGACGTTTTGGGTCTGGACCCTTCTTCAGATTTTCTGAAGTAGTGTCCCAACCTAAAACATCAACTTTCCTGCTCCTCTGATGCTGCCTGG